TTTAAGTTGTATACGTACGGTTTATAGACTATACATATATTTGCCATATTGAATAAGTCGTATTTATCATATTGAATTCCTTGCCATATTAGAAAATTAATACACTTCGGAAAATACAAGCTATTTTTATATTATTGAAATTATGTTGCTATGTATTTAATATTTGTAATAAATTCAGAATTTATTATAAATTGTATTACCTTTTTCACTCAACCACAATCGTTGAGCAATATAAAATGCAAGTTTGTATGTTAGATCATTAAATAAAACAAACTGAAAAATTAAGTGTCAGTAGATTTCCTTTATATTATTAAATTTAATATTGAACAGGATGTATAATGTACTTCTAAAATCCGTGAAACTACTGGATTAAATTAAAAAAGTTAATTACCAGTTTTAGAAATATTATTACTCATATTATTATATGACTTACATATTTCTTTTACATGAAGAGGACAAATATATTAAATATGTATATATTTTTTGTTAACCACTACTTTTATAGACGTTTATAATAAATAAGATTTGGTTTATTTACTAGTTGTAGAAAATAAAATAAATTAATTTTGGAATTGTAATGGCATCCAAGAGAGAGAACCCCATGGATACATAGTAGGTAATTGCATGTAATTGTTACCGAAACCTTCAAATTTGATAATCTCTACGCTTGAAATACCATTGCGTATACTTGTATAATCAGCTGCATTATTATTTAACACGTGCGAATTCTGTAAACGCTCATGAATTCGTAAATTATTGAAGACCGCAGGTTTCTGATTGTAGATACCATAGTAAGAACGATCACCTGTAGAGAAGAATTTTACATATACGCGCTATTTCGTGTTATAGTTAATTATATCTATTATGATTAGAAAACTGTTCACCGTTCGTGAAGAAAACGTATGATTATACGGATTCTATAACGTCACATTATAAAATTTCTCATTGTAGGGTGTTATAAAAATTATCTTCTTTTTTTAATTATTTAAAAATAATGAATTTTTTCAGAATCCTTACTATTTACTTATATTTATGAGACATTGATTAGTTTAGTTCTTAGATTGATAGAATCCTAGTATTTAGATTGAACATAAGTATTTAAAAATTACGTATTGTGACTTTTCTGGCCTCTCGTAATATAATCGTTGCATTCGTGAATAACGTCCAATTTCTCTCGTCTAATTTGATAACATTATTCCAAATATCTTTTATATTTTGCATGATATGCCAATAATTAATATATTTAGAACATTAATTATTGCTTAATATAAAGTACGATAAAGTTCCTATCCTCTTATCAAAATATTGTTATTACCGTGTGATTTCATATGATGATGCAAGGCGCCGAGTTTGCAAAATCCCCTGTTACAGACAGGACAGCGTAAAGGCCAATTACCAGTGTGAGAATACCCGTGAGCCCTTAAATCACCGGGAGTTGGAAAAGATCGTCCACACTCGTCACATTTGTGTGGTTTTTCCTATAAATTACATATATGTATACACGTATATTACACAAACTATAATAATATATTAGATATATATTACTAGCATGTGCATTTCTTGCAGTGTATTTTTTTACGTATAACTGATTACCATACAAGCGTCTGGTATTAGCATCATCTTTCCCCTTTACTATTCTATTTTAAGCTGCCAATTTCCAAGTCTATTAGGCCTGTTCTACAATACGTCGTATGTCACTGTCGGATGTCGGGATGTAGCCGATGGTCCAATGAGAAAATTCCTTTTTCGAAAGAATCGGCTACGTCCCAACGTCCGCGCGTAGCCGATTCTTTCGAAAAAGAAATTTTCTCATTGGACCATCGGCCACGTCCCGACATCAGCAGCAATAATCCAAACAGTTAAAACAGAAATACCTTGTAATGCGTCATACGGTGGTAATACAAATTCGACGATGCTGTAAAACGCTTTCCGCACATTGGACATTCATGAGGACGTTCTCCAGTATGAATCCTAACGTGAGTATTCAATGAACTGCTTGTGCTAAACATTTTACCACATATTGCGCAACCATGTGGCTTTTCGCCTGGGAATAAGTTTTTAAAATGTAAATTATAATGTTAACTGCTAATCTGTTTACATCGGCTCTTTAAATATATTGATAATTTCCACGGGCACACTAATATGATCATTATATTGAAAATTGGAAATCTAAAACAATTATTCACAATAGGTTCGTAAAAAGAATAGAAATTACAGAGAAATTTCTTTTCGTACGTAATCTTTTCTACTACACGAAATTTAAATTCGTTCAACGCAAGCTTTTGAAAGACAAAAAGGTCGACTAATGCCAATTTGGCACAATGCATATTTTTCCTCAAATTTACCTGTATGCGTTCGCAGGTGTCTTTTTAAAAGGGACGGTCTGTCAAAACTTTTACCGCAAGTTTGACAGGGGAGACGTCGTTGAAATTTATAAGTACTAATAACATCAGTTTTCCATGCAGTCCCACGTCTACTCAAGTCTAAGGGTGCACTCTGTGTTACGTTCCATACTAACGTATTAACATATTCACTCAATTAATTACATTATATAATTAGAATGTGAATTGGATTTCTGGTACATTTACACTTATTATTTTTTTGAGAAAAGAAATTTTTATAATAATGTTTTTAATGCATGCATGTTTATAACGAATTTGCGTATTACGGTTTCAATGAAAATGATTTCTGGTATTATTTCAATAGCCGAGGACAAGAAACATTTTTTCACGCAAAAGTATGTAGTAAAAAGGAAGATATTTTTTTAGGATAAATCTATTATCTTATTATCCACTTTATGTGATTTTGCATGCTGTTGCGATTTTATCTGTAATAATTTTGTGTCTCAATAATGTACCACGCTTACCGGACATCACGATAATTTGTTGTTATCGATGACTTGTCAAGTTGGACGAGCAATTGCTTTTACGGGCAAATAAATGAGTTAGAAGTGTCGAATTGCACGGCTCTTCACGCGCGTAACATGTTACCACTCCGAACAGATTAAACGCGTGATTAAGGATAAGAAACGGTGCAGCCGCAAACGACCCTCCGGCGCATGTCGAAGGCGGCGTTTTCGCAAAGGGCGGAGTTTGATCGTCGTAATATGCTTTGCAATTGCCTGTGTGATACGCCTCGAGGCTCCTTGTAAAACATTTTCGTTACATGTCGAGCTAACAAAAGAACGTCACATTAAGGAGCATATTCTGTAAAAATGCTCTGTGTAACGTATCTCTATGAGCTTTTAACATATCCATATTATGTTGAATTAACGCAAAAATTTGTGTGGACCGTTTGGGACATGTGATATCTGGTAAATTTAACACAAATTTTTCAGCTGTGTGTGCGTTTCATCATTCGCATAAAATTCCACGAGAACTCCTTTCGTCTCTGGAAAGATCTGGCATCGATATCGATTATTGTAAAAACAACACGTAAAGTTTTTCAATGTTGGATTAACATAGGTCAAAATCATTTAAATTTTCATGACTTTCATTTTCTGAGATAATACTGCCGCTATTGTATTGAACGTCATAAATATATTCAACGAGGAATACCTTCGCTCAAAGTCAACTAGGCATGGAAGACCAGTTGTGGAAGTATCTCTTCTTGCAGATCAGACTAGACTTATGACATTCTAGATTTTAATCGCTGCTCGCGTAAAATATTCATATGTACACTAATGACAAAATAACGAAATACAATAAAAATAATTGTATGACTTTTATAAAAAAGAGTCATGCTTTCTTATTACAGATTTTGTGATTTGCCGACGGGCCCGTGTGATATTAAACCATCTTAAGTCTAGTCTGATCTGCAAGAAGAGATAGTTCCATAACTAGTCTTCCATGCCTAGTTGACATTGAACGAAGATATTTCTCGTTGAATATATTTACAACGTTCTTCGAGATCCATTTGTTTGTAAATTTATACCATGCATGCAAAAATACGTTACATATACGCGTCGATATTAGATCGTGAAATAGACTCTATCACACGAATAAAGCTTATGAAGCGGGTAGCCGGTAGTGCTTTGTCACCGTACTCATTATTATCTACGGTATTCGCCTGGAAGCACACCGGCGCGAAAGAGGAGGTGAGATAATTCGTCGTGTGGCATCGGGCTATCGGACGTCCTGCCGTGCGAAACCCTCATTTGTCAACGCGGAGGATATTAAAGCCATTGAATGCCCCGCAGGATCTTTACAAATCGGTTCTTCATCGACCATAGGCGACAATGTACATATTTCTGCTGTGTAGCGGTGCTGTATTATCGAAACCGATCGATTTCCCCCCGTAGCGTATAAACTACCGCTAAACGTTCCCGAGTCTTTTCACAGACCAGGCATTTCGATAGCGCGTTCTCGAAACAGTAAAACTTTCCAAGGGCCAAATAATATGAATATTAAGCGTGTTTCCCCCCGGAATACTTCACGAACGTGCTTTCAACGTGTAGAGAAACATGTCTGTGAAACATGGTTTTCCGCACATTTATTAGCAACATTAGAGTTAAAGTAGGACTCTCATTAAAACTGAATGGCCAATGCGAGTCTAAGGCAAAATGTAGATAGATGTAGAATTCACATTTTTAATAAATTACAAGTATAGGCTATCTACATCTTGCCTTAGACACGCACTGGCCATTCTTGTGTGTTGTTTATTAGTAACGGAGTAATTTGAAAATACTTTAGAAATACTGTAACAACAGAAAAGCGACAGTGCAAGCTGCGGCTTTTATGATGACTGCAGCTGAAAAAATGCAGGTTGCTGAAAACGAGTTTAAGGACATTTCAAGATACATTCTATTATTTTTGTACTAAAAACAAGAAAGCGTACATGATCCAGTACTTTTACAGTCGTGCTTAATTACCCAAGCTCTGAGTTACACTCATCGTACCCAGATTCGGTACGGTTTGGAACTTCATCTTTCTCGTTTGCGACACGTACTCCAATTCCAATATGATCAACTCGTTCTCGCCCGTGCGTAGATACGGAGCTGGAACGTACAGGGTAATTTGCGGGCCCACCAATGGCCAGTATCTCCCGAGATTGTGACCGTTCACGAAGGCTACTCCCTTTCCCCAGCCGGTGGTATCCAGAAACGTGTCCAACGGTTGCTCGGGGACCGTGAATCGTCCACGCAGGAACACCGGGCCGCTGCTCAGAGTACCACTCTCAATGGGCATAGCTGTCAGGTTCCGGAGGGAGGATACGTCGGAGAACGTGTACCCCGTCATATTCCAGCCGATCAGCGGAACGTCGTTGACAGTCACGTTTGATATTCCCTGAGACGCAAAGCAAATAATCGCAGAAAGTTTAACACTGAAATATCCGTAAGTCGCCCAGGTTCGTTGAATTAGCGCAAATTGACATTGTGCACGCGCAAGTAGCTAATCATTAGAAAACAGTTGTGACTACGGTTGTTCGTATGTCATATTTGAATACTTTCCGATACCTTGAAATCGCGAATTTCATTGCCGAAATTCAAGCGACCTTGGTTCTCTACCAAGAGACCCAAGTGGCGGCCGTAAGGGCTCTCCAGTGGTATAGTAAATATCTTATCTATGCGACTCAGAGTGCCGCATAGTTGACTGTCCACGTAAACTAGTCCCCTGTCCTTCGTCATTGCTCGCAGTATGACCGGGTCCGAGGTGGGTGGCGGCAAGTTCGTCTCATAAAGAACAAATCCTTGATTCACAGAAAGGGCCTCGAAGGTTTCAGGCAGGTCCCCGGTCGCCCGGATCGCCGCGAACGGAGATCGACTGTCGAGCAACTTCTGTACTGGTTCCAATAACACTGGACCATAATTACCTTTCGGAGATACGGTTGGGAGGGACATGTTTGGCAACGACAGATACTGTAATGTTAAGGTGCACGTGAATCGACTTATTATAAAATAGAGACATTTGTTATGCATTTTCGCCAATTAGAAGTAATTTTTCGTAAAATTTATATTGTCAAACCAAAAACGCAATAGTGTATCATCGTAAAGAAAATCACATACGTCACCGATGACGTCCCTTATAGCAAAGTATTTGTCTGTCGGATCTCCGGCCTCGGTCAAGGGAGCATCGTAATCGTACGAAGTCAATTGTGGATTGTACACACCTGCCCCACCGTTAGCTCCTGTGGTGTAACGATGAATGTTAAGTAAAGTACGCTTTATGATATAATCTCATTAACCGTCTCAAGTGTTATTTTCATCGCAAATTTACTTATTGCTAATTCGTCAAGTTGATAAGATTTTACTAACCAGAGGTGAAACCGAAGTTTGTACCCCCATAAAACATGTAAAAGTTAACGGAAGCGCCTATATCAAGCATTTCTCTCAACGTCTTTGTAACAGCTCCCGTTTTTACCCTCTGGAAGGCTTCTCCCCAATGCGTTAGCCAACCCGGATAGAACTCAGAATTCACCAACGGGCCCTACGTATCAGTTTTCAAGCTTTGTTAAACATCTCAATTTTTAACAATAGAAAAAATTATTCGACGAAGTTTGAGACCAGTTGAAGCCGTCAAATAATTTTCCATATTGTTAATTAACTACTGGCGACAATAATATTGTATCTCAACTTTTATTTATTAATTACTGGTTTCTTTAAACAATGATATCGCTTACTCTTGGCTGATAAAGGCGCATAGATAGAAAGCTGGCGGACACATTGCTGGACGTTCCAAAATCAACCGTGGCGTATGCACCGGGTACGAATCCGCATCGAAGATACGATACGGATGCACCGTCAGTCGTATACAGAAGAGCTTTATTGCTAATTTTTCTGACGAAAACTTCTTTTAACAGGTCCATGTACTCTGTATCGCAAGCATTGTAACTTCCGTATTCGTTTTCTACCTGTTAACGCGATTAAAGTTAGGGCAACATATGACGTTGCGTAAGTTATATATCATAATACTATTTCTTAAGAGCTTATTCCACTTTTTAAGGACCCAAAAACTATGCTTATCTTTTATTTTTTACCATTTTGTTACTTTTAAATAAAAATTCTTAAGTGAGGTTCGGGACATAGGGACACTCACATGGATTAAGAATCTTTTTGATTTTTGTTTCAGGTAAACCTGAATAATAAAAGTCATCAACGCGGCGGACTCGCATCTTTTTCGACACGCCACTCGAACGGTGTAGAAAACGCTTAATTAAAAAGTTGTTTAAATTACGACAGAATTTTTGGTGTGTTATTTAAGAGTGCCCTAATAAATCCCGAAAAGATTTGTCTCATTGTTTGGGCCGTTAAAGTGGAATGACCCCTTAATCTCGTAGTCGTTACCTGAACCATAATTATTGGTCCTCCATTACCCCTTAAAAGTGGCTTTACTTTTTCCAATACTTGATTTAGATATGATGTGGCATATTTCATGAAATCTATAGAAGTTGCAAAATGTTTTAACAATACAGTTAGATTCTACAATGGGTTAGTAATAGACATTTGCCAATTGATATCAATATTATATCGAGCGATTTCCACGGAAATAAAATAATTTGACAATGTCATACATATATAAAATAGGAGACGTACTTAAAATTGAAATAAGTAGTAATATATGAATTTCCTATTCTTTTCACAAATTTAACAATCACAAACGTTTATTCCAAATTCGAAGCATGTTTTTATATAACGATTCAATGAAACGAATTAGCTTACCTACGTCTTTTGTGCGTAACTTAATATCCGGTACTTCGCGAAGCAACCAATATGGTAAACCACCCTAAAGGCAAAAATGTCAAGCTTATCAAGATTGAATAACATTTTCTGAATATTGCCATTTGGAGAAACAAGAGTGAAGAGTTAAATTGTTAAGTTTCGTTTCAGATATGACAGAATAGATTGCAAAAGACAACTAGCTGTGTTAGTAACTTTGTACTAAGCAAGTAATGTATACAGGGTATTCGAAAAGAATGGGACTCCCACATTATCTCCGAAAGTACACACTTTCGCGGAAAATGACCACATATGTTTACCAAGTCTCTTTCCGCGCATATATAAGGACCCGGTCGCAATAACACGAGCAAGTCTTCCTCTTGTGCAATATTTAAGAAGTTTACTAGATCTGCGTCGCCAGCCCAATTAAATTGACCCGGCTCTGGTTCATGAAGGCTCCATTCAACATAACTATATATCGCGAGGGAAAAAGATAGAGTTCACTGATTATTTCGCGACATATTATTTTAAATCTAATAAACTGTTAAAAGATCTGGTACGTATTATGCGCTTAACGCCCTGACATTTTCTTGTATTATGTACATTACAAAACGTAAATTATGCGATGTAGCTTACGTGGAAACAGCGTTAAGTCCCGCGGCTCGCATTTTCCTTAAACGATCCCTCCAGTATTGTCTAGGCGCTCGAAAGTAATGAAAACTACCGGAAACATATCGGAAGGGTTTCCCATCCAATAAAAATTGATTGTTCTCGTAGTCAACTTCGAAACCGTACCGCCATTCCGTATTCTGCAATTATTTATTTTAAACTCTCGCTGAGGAAAATAAGTTTATAAAAGGCGATGTATTAATTGTTAAATTATTAGAATACGGCTTACAATTAGTCTAATTAATTTTTTTTACGTAATGTTTAATTATATTTGTGTCACAGTTTATATCACATTTATGTACTTAAGAGACAACTTCTTAGGTTTATTTTTATACATCTTTTATTTCACGATCCAATTAATGTCATGCACTTTTATAATCCATGTAGAATATGCCATATGTTCTGCCATATGCCACATGTGGTATTCAAGTTATTGACGCAGGCTTTTGTGTTAAGTATATAATTTTCAATATGTTTTTACAAGCCGGCTTTAGAGAATTGTAATCGAAGGTCACCATCCGAGGTCGATCATTGTATAGCCAGTTGATTCCCTGTCTTTCTCCTCCGTCTTCTAACTTTGTCAAGCCGGTATCATTATCCCGACTCCGATAGGCTAATCATAGAGATAAATTTATCCGTTTTCACAGAAACACGTAACGCAACAGACATTCTGTAATATCTTTCTATTGCTTCTCGCAACATAAATAAATTTTTAAGTACGTGTATGTACGTAATTCTATAAGTGAATCTCCATTTCTTTATCAAACATTTTATTGCGTGTTATACAGAAAACCGTCCTCTATTATGAAATAAGATTCTAATATAAGATAGCAGGTTTTCAACGTCCAAAATCTACCAAGCAATTTTCCACTACACAGATTTCACTCCGAGTGCAATAAATTTATGATGGAACCAACAGATAATGTCTATTAATTTAAATCCTGCTTTTTCATACTAGGATCCTATCGCATAATAGGGGACTTTCCTCTACCTAGATGAAATGCATCTTTAAACCTCACTAAAAAATGTAACTAAACAATCTCTTCAGTTAAAAAAGATTATGAAAGGACCATAGAAGTTCAGTATACGTTAAATACGAGTTCGGTTATATGCTTAAGTAAAAAATGAGCTTAAATTCAAGTAACATTTCAGTTCCATTCAATCAGCGATGGTTATATCTAGGACACGAGGTCGAGGACAATTGTCAATCGGTCAGAATCAATCTTTGTGACTTGCATTCAAATTTTATGATTTACGTGACGTACGTCGTGTACGAGCCGTGTATGAACCACGTTATATTTTATTTTATCAAATGTATCCTATTCAATACATATTATTCTCCTACTTTCTAAACGGAATCTTAAGAATTCCGGTTGATGGCATTTCGTTCCTAATTAGCAAACGTAACCAATGACAATTTCACAGGAAATATGACCCGAGAAATCTTCCTAAAAGCTAGAATTTCCGTTTCAAAGTTCGTTCTTTTTTGTTAAACCGTTGCCATCGTTATTTCCGATTAAGCAATCAGTATCGACTAGTATTTATCAAACCGTATCAGTATATACACCGTTTTATATTCACTGGTTTTATGCTTTTATATATAAAAACGAATTTAGAGATGAAATAATTTTAATTGGTTAATATCGTTTAATATCATCGGCGCGATGTTTTTAATTTCGAGATATGAAAATGTAAATGCAAAATAATTTACTGAATACTGACACAACAAATATGTTTGTCGGCGAGACAATACGCGTGTGAGATGTGAAGATCTTTACTGTGCAAGGATTCTTTCGAACGTTAATCTACAGATTGATTTAAACTTTTAATCGCGCAGAACTTGAAGGAATGTCTCTTTTCACATATTTCACAGGAAATACGTAGCAGCTTGCCGCAGAATTGTACATGTACGAGGTCCGTTCGAAAAGTTCCCGGATTTTCTCTTTAGAATTTTTGCAGGTTTACCTACAGCTTATTCGGACCTCCTTCGAAATATTCCTTCCCGATTAATCACTTCGAACGCCGTTCCCACTTCTGGAAGCGTTTTCCGAAATCGAGCGGAACAAACCTCGTACATATTGAACATATACACGATGAAAGCTAAAAGGGTTATATAAGAGATTCAACATACGTTACTCGGTAAATTAACCGTCTTCGACACAGCGCTACCTAATGCCAAGGTCGTTACGAGTATTAATGACCACATTTTCAAACGGGTTAATCTTTATGTTGTACTCGAGTTGCACTCTTCCATGCGCTTGTTAATTCACCACCGACGCTCGCGCGTTACTGACGAATTTGACGGCGTGCCTAAGATAAGTCACACTGGCGTATGAAGTTTATCGTCGGGGAGATACGGTGTTCTTCGGTCGCACTATTATTCAAGTATTCATTATCGTGCAGGTATTCACTCGTGAACTTTCAAATTCGAAAAATAAATGTTGTTGAAATGTTATCGCACGAACGTTATCGTGTTACGACTGAATTTTTAAGCGGCTCATTTCGCACACAAATTTCAACTGAAAGTTTCTTGTATATTACACTGTATCCGGGATTTAGAGAATCTCTTCCGCGGTGAAACGAGTTGCTTTCGAAATATCAGATTGCAATAGTTGAAAGGTGCACTGATTGAAAGGTGAACAGTCCACCTTAAAAGGTACGTGCCCAAGTACATGTTGCAAAAAGATGTTACAGTAGTTAATCCGTCAATTAAATATTCACCGTTAGCGCAGCTACTTGAGTTTTCCAATAGACGTTGGTAAAAAAAAGTATATTTTATTTCCCGGAAAATGCGAATAGAAGTAAGTAATATGACAGTACGGTGAAATTCATCGGGAGGGATAATATTCCTTAAGTGAATCAAACGACGTCGTTATAATTGCAAGTTTGCTACTGGTAATGTATCGACAAGGTGCCGCATCAAGTTATTAATGAATCATTAATTTCAAGTTAAGGGCGACAAGGTTGGCGCAAACCGTAGTGTCTTACGAACCTTCGTCGCGTTTATACACTTTTGTATACCAGTTTTACCGATACGCAAATTACGTAGTTACATGCTGCCGTTTTGCTATAAAAGTTACTCGTATGATCTTTACACAAGCCTGCATGTTTCGTGTAAAGTTTAATATTTTTGGTGTAGGTTTGATGAGAAATATGAGACTCTATTACTTTCGATTGTAGCAACTGTAGAAATGCAGATACTCTCTCTCAGTTTCTTATTATATACCATAAGTGGTTTGTGGCGACCAATCGAATGGTCTTCGAAATACTCCAAGTTGTTATACAGCGTGTTCACCGTTTTCGCAATATACTTGTTAGCCTATTTGATGCTGGTTCACTTGCTGTATATCATCTTTGTTATCGATAACGTGGAGAACTTAGCTTTGAGCTCCCCAATTTTCTTCTCGACAATCAGCTTATTGTTCAAAGCGTTTACTGTTGTACTCTATCGCGACCAGATTGTCAATTTGGTCGAGACTTTGCAAAAGGAACCTTGTAAAGCGTGTAACGCAGATGAAACTGATATCCAGATGAAATTCGACCGTTCGATCAGGTTGATATATCAATAACTACATGTCTCGATTATTATACGTTTCTAATATGTTTTAAAAAAAATGTATGCAGATTGTATTCTATGCGTTACATATTCCTATGTACGTTTTCGATGCTGGGTGCTATGGGGGCAGGATTCCTCAATGTTTTAAAGGGTCGATTACTTTTTAATGTGTGGATATCTTGGGATTCCACCTCCTTCCTTTTATTCTGGCTTACGTTCCTTCAAGAGTACGTAGCTCTGATTATTGCCACGGTTATAAACATGGCGACGGAAACTATAGTACTAGGATTTTGCTTACAAACGTGTGCGCAATTTGAAATTCTGAAGAATCGTCTTCAGAAGTTGGTAAAGCGTAGGGTGAAAGGAATATTTACGAAAAATTCGTTGAACAATGCGTCGCGTAAAAGAAGCAAATTGTCGGAGCACATCTCTCATCATTTGTGCATAATCAGGTCAGTTAGATGAATGTTACTTTATACGGATACTTTTTGTAATTGTAGACATTATATGTGTTAAATAATGTTTTATATATACACGGAGAGAATTTTCTCTTAAAATTTATCTTGAAAATCACGTGATCGTGAGACAACATGGAATTTCGATAAATTTCATGAGTTTCTTGAACTTTTACCATACATTTCGCTAGTAATTATACTTGGTATATATTTTACTGGTAAAATGTATGGTAAAATTTCAAAAAACTCTCACAAATTTCTTCAAAATGCCACGATTACGTGATTTTTACGGTACATTTTAAAAGAAACTCTTCATCTATTGCGAAGTAACGTACGCTATTTGCAATATAATGTTTAATCCTTTACAGAATTGCCGAAACGATCAATAAGATATTCAGCCAAGTATTCTTTATACAATTTTTTGCCAGCATATTAGTATTATGTTCAAGTGTATACTATTTATCTTCTCATGTAACGGTTACAGACTTTATAAAGTTAGCTATTTTCACAATTACCATGTTTGTGCAGATTTTTGTTTATTGCTGGGGTGGAAATGAAGTTATACTCAAGGTAAATATGGCTGCTATACACAGACATACGTACGAAAAGTAGTACTATAGCAAATCAAGAATTCTGAAAGGTCTTTGCACACATGTCTTTTTGTTTTTCTTCATTTATTTCGTCAATCTTACTTGCGCAGAGTACCGGATTGAGCGAAATGATATATCACATGGATTGGATGTCGGTGACAACCGGCGAACAAAAGGACCTACTGATGATTATGAGACGTAGCATGAAACCCATTAAATTAACCAGTAGCTTTCTGGTGACATTGTCTTTGGAATCTTACGTCAAAGTCAGTTAAAAACCTGTCTACGATACTTTTCACAGGTATAGCGTTCAATTCTCACTAAACTTTCTTGTTTTTCTTTACAGCTTTTGCACGCTTCTTACTCCGCGTATAACCTTCTAAAACAATTTTAAGAATGTATTCCTTTACTTCTTCGCAATACACAATCTGTACGATATCATATAATAAATAAATCGATTATTGCAAAAGATATTTTAATATTTATTTTATTAAAGTTGGCGTGTTTTGGTTTCATACCATGTTATTTCTTTTAATCTACTTTTGTAACTGAAAGTACCACGAAGGGTGCGTACGGGGAGCTCACTGTCAGCGCTATTTAGCGCTACAGGCTGTTCGCGAAGATAGATGGTAGCGCTAGCAAACGCCCTCGTGACGTCACTAATGGTAGCTTTATACGTCATAACGGCATGCTACCAACACTTTTCCTCCCGAGGTAGTGTGATGATATAGCGTTAGCGTTCGTGAGCTCCGTGAATGCTGTCAGTAGCTGTCAATAGCTGTCAATAGCACGTCTTGTTTGGTTATTTGTATCTGTTTTCTGATTTATCGTAAAAGTAATAGAAAGCAATTATGTTGAAATTACTTTGAATGATGTAGAAACTAATGAAAATGTATTAGTTAAAGTTTCCGTGGCTGATGCTCTTAGAGCAGAAAACGGTAAGTTCATTAATATATAATAAATAATATAATATATATTTAATGTATTACTAAAATATTATTGCTATTTCTTTTATTATTTATTATTTCACGAGGTTAAATGTATCCGCTATGTTGTATCTGCGCTATTCGTGCTGGTCAGCTGTTCACGTAGAGCTCCCTAGTACACGTGTACTAGACTACACGCGTAATCCGTGTATTTAACTTATCCGTGTTTTAACTCGCGTACACGAATTTAAAGAATCTTCATTTACGTGAATCCGAATATCCGCGAACGTGACATGTGTACAGAAATATCCGCGTATGTGACATACGTAAACATACGTAAATGTGTAGCCGTGTATATCCCGATAGGGAAATATTTAGAGAATTATGTGACGAAATCTGGATGAAACTTGGAATGCTGGAATTATGCGTACATATTTCGAACAACATATGCAGAAATAGAGACCTTTCAACAAATTTTAATAAATATTTGCACAGTGTATTTCTAAATAGTATGTCAGCAAAATAACTGCCTTTTAGCGAATTACCTCTGCAGAATATTTTATCTAGTCGAGATCGCTATCGCGAGCTCCCCGAACGCACACGAAGATAGACTCTTTGTTACTTTTATGACTACTATTCGTTTTACTTGTTATTCTATTTCGGTTTACATTTAAAAATGGTTTTTTCAATGACATAACCTGAAAATAAGCAAAGTGAGTATTGACCAATGTAAAATTCTTAACTGGAATACTTGCAAAAACACAAATAAACAGATTTTTTTTAATTATTTTAAATTAGTGTCAGGGGTGTTTTTAGTACCAATTAAACAAAAAATAATTGTTTTTCTTATTTGTTACAGAGTTTCCAGGTAGAAAGGAAAAAAACCATTTTTGAGCATATTGAAGGTATTCCACATTAAATACTGATCTAACATATCGAACGTATCCTATTAAATACAGATTATCGTTTAAAGGTAAACGGTAAGAAATACAGCGATGAAATACATTCTTGCGCCGCTGTACGTCGCACACGTTGAATTGTCGGAGTTTAACTGTGATTGATATTTTGTTATCAATTGCGATAATAAATTGTTACCTATTTTACCGCAGTCGGTGTAAAACTTAGTCTCATATTTATAAAAATTTTAATGAAAATGATTTATTATATCCCGAACACGATACATTAGGTTTATCAATATATATTAGCAAGTTTATGAAATACATAGTTTTATTAGTTTATTAATGGAAATTGTTAAAACTAAGGCCAACGATTCTCTTTTCCGATTATCATTTTCAGTGGAACTTAGTTAATGGTTCATTGTTCTTATTTTATTAATTTTACTTTACTTTTTATTTTGATTCTTATAATTATTGATTTTTTATTTAGTGCGAATGCGACATCAACGCAACTAATTTTCACACAAGGTGTGTGCTAAAAAACGTAACAAAGACATACGTACTTTTTAAGACATCTTTAAGACTTTATCAAAAGTCCTTTAAAGATTTTCTGTGAAAAGACATTCGAAAATTATACTCTTTTATAAAATCATCCTTTTGAAGCACATACAGCTATTTACATTATCGACTGTAACATTTATTGATCAAGATATATAACGTGGCTTATCTAAATGTAACAGTCTATAAAACTATTATTATATCGCAATACTTCGTTTCAAGAAATTACATTTGCGGCTCGAAGTTCCAAAAGTATCTCAAAATTGTTATAAAAGCTTTTCTAACAGTTTTATACAACAGCCCCGAAATCTTAAATTTCTTATTGTTAGATAACTCTCAAAACGTTGTCATGTCCTCTGAATTAGCATTGATATTAAATATTTATCATATTTGTATTAAAAAGATAAAAATTCTTTTATCAAATCATATTTTGTACAATTGTACTTTTTCGTTGTATAATATCACAGAGGAAAAGTAATATTAGGCTTTAGTTGTACTGCACATTTAAACGGTGAGGTATCTAACGACGTTTAACCAGGCACACGATTCGGGCATTATTATTATATAAACTCGTATCCTGGTTACACATGAGTGATTTAGAAACTTTGAGGTCATCAAGCATTTGTCGTGATGAAGGATAATTGAGCTGGTGGTATAAAGATATATATCATATTCGGCAATTCTCATTAATTGGTAGTTTTCCTCGTTCTTACGCTTAATACAGGTTGTTACTAAACTATTCGAACAAACTTGAAACGCCAACGACTCGTAATTTTTACTCTTGAATTACAAGTAATTTCAATTATAAGGAAATAGAATTTAGGAAGAAGTACGACATCGATGGTGCGCCTTAAAAACTGTTAGAAAAAATTTCACGATTTATGGATGAGAATTCGTAATGCGAATTTGTAATTGAGGATTATAAAAAATCAAATCGTACCATTAAAACACTTTGTTATTATTAAGAACACTGACCGCATCGTTTCTTCGATTAGCGTGCGTGGTCAACAAATTTGTGACAATTAAGCCACTTAATGCAGATGGCACACGTGGAAATGTCTATGCCTTCTACGTCGACGCGTTTAGCATACTCACAAATATTTTTAAGAGACTAAGTTAATTGGGGTTAATGGACAAGTAACTGTACTGCAGCAGCTTTTGCATATTTCATAATCTGGTGTATACATTTAGTATTGGCGTATAATTCAGGATTAAATGGTACATCTTCCCAATAAGTGTAAGAAAATTAATTAATTAGTCACCTCTTTTAATTGGTTGTATAATCATTTTAATCCACCGAAGCAAATAGATTATATTATTATAGAAAATTTAGAATAATTTATATTTTTAATCAAAGAATATAAACAATGTGATTCTTAGACATTTTGGAACATTTTAAACATATTGGCAGAGATAACTCGAGAAAATTTTTTCACGGAAACATAGCTTCCTCTACGAAGAAGCAATATTATTGATTTTTTTTCATTAATCTTAATTTCTTTTATGTGTAATATAATATACTAACTTATCAGTATGTAAATAATAATCAAATCGACAAGTTGTATCCAAATAATTATCTATCTTTCATTTTAAAAACCTGTTTTCTACTGTAATTATAATATAATTTTTGTTAAAATCTTAAATTTATATAATCTCTCGCTCTACGCGGGTTTGACTTCACAAAAATAAAAAAGTTACACGAATTAATTAATAAAAAAAGATTTTAATCTTTTTAGTATATTATATAACAGGTAAAATGTATACCATAAATGAAAAAAATTGCAATGTAATTTGCAATTTTTTATTATTTACATAATCAATAGCCAAATAATAACTGAAAATAAAATATTAAAAATATACGAATACATACGTTATTAAACGTACACTTTGGTTCTAAAATATTCTTATCAAATATTTGTGCGCTTTTATTTGGAATATAGTATTCATGTACCTCTCTACATAATCTTTTTATCAGAAAAATCCAGTGTAATTTTCGGATGCGTTTTATTAAAAAGAAAATAATCTCATTTAACACGATCCAATAAGTTTTTTCTAAAAAAAAGTTTTCTCCGTGATGTAAAGATCATGCAAAGTTAAATGAGAAATAAGCTCATATCACTTTTTTATATATTTAAAGTTTAATCAGCAGCAGAGTCTTTATTTTTAAGCACTTGGAACTTCGAAACCTGACTTGGAAACCTCGATGGCATTTTCCCAAGAGAATTTCTGTCTCTGATAATACAAGATATTTTTAAAAAGTAGTTCCAAATTTTACAGGTATATAATGCTCACTAAACCGAATAAAAATATTTAATCAAGAATTGTCATTAACAATTTGCTTATAATATTCATTGAATTTAATTAAAAAATCCTCAGTCAACATAACTTTTCAATTCTTTTGTGTAAACAGCGATTTCGTATTTAAGTTACAAAACTGGTTATTGATGATTGCACTAAATTACTTTATCATTTAATTGTTTAAATTTCTTACAAAAGATTTTTACTATCGTCCTTTCATTCTAATACGTATTTGATATTTCCATATCGTTGTAACACATCCATATACTGCATGCATCTCTATCGGCATAGCCAATGCATAAAATGACTGTCTGCGATTTCCTCGTTACAATGATTTAATGATTTGCCATTGCTTAGTTAGATTTATGTCTTAAATTATCTGGCAATGTCTCGATTTGATCGTACGTCTGCTGCGACTTTGCTCGTAAATCTAGCATTTACGTATTATAATACGACAGTGAATATTACGATGGGGCAATTTTTTATTTTCATATTGTGGTAAATGGCGATTAAACGCGAACGTTAAAATTCTCGAAATGTAAAATTTTTCCTTGCTTTGAAATAATATTTCGATTTGCAAATCAATATTCTGCAATCAATATTTTGAATCACTCTTGTCGAAATACTTCGTGCAAAGAATTAATAGTTCTCAATGCCTATTTCGGCTATTTCGATCTTCTAAAAACGAGAGCACCATCGTGGTACATATTGTAACTGCCGAAGGTTCTTCGAACTATGTAAATTGCAGCTCGGTTAGATTCTTCGTTGACATCATTTAGTGGTACGTCGAGCTTCTCAGTGGCACTGCGAAATACTTTCTCGTAATAGTATTTCAAACAATGTTAATTAATGTATACTTCATGCAACGCAAGTTGTTTGTGCAAATTTAAATTTTTGTGTAATCATTGAACAATTTATAGTCTGGTGCTGTATATCGCATCCTAAGATTTAGGATTTAAAGCTTTCTACAATTTTTCTGTCAAATCCAATTATACAATTCTAATACAATAGCTCCTCATTTCTTTCCTTTAATTTTGGCTCTGGTCATATTTTTAGTGTTTGTTTTTATTTATTCATCTTTCGTGTCCACTGTGTCTTTTCGACGTAACATCCCTGACCGTAGTTTTACTGTGGCTATTGTGTCGGATGGATATGCCTTCAAACATAGTTCTCTCCGACCGATATCCAGAGATCGATGACATCTTTTTACAATTTAATTTTTAACTAATCCACGTAAGTGTAGAGTTGTGAATTTCGTCTCGGTGACTATACTGCCAATTGCTATACGAACGGCTTACAGATAAGTTTCCCCAATATTTTGCAGATACTTTCTTAACAAGGACCACAATCCGGATGGTCGAAACGTTGGAATAAATTGTTAAATTAAAAGACCTTAGTTTAACGTCGTTAAACAATTTTTCTTTCTGTTTTTAATCAATTACTGGCGACAATAATATTCCTCTTGTTAGTTCTAATACTGTTACAGTTAAATGGCTACAAAAACGGTTAAGAAAATTTAACAAAACTCCATTGGAAAAACTCTTGTGATATATGCGTTAGTTGTACAAAAGTCCATATTAACTGTGATATCTTGTAAAACTTATACGCTTTATATGAAATAGATATAATACTTATAACGAGTATAATTCAGGTTTTGAGAGAAAAATTCGGCTAAAAAAAAGCGGCGCAAAATATTGAAAATGCAACTAAAGCGAACAGACCCGTAATTAATATTCCATGACTAACTTTACAACCGATCCGGGAAGATGCTGTGGTCGCACTTCTATCATCTCAGCGCGTAAAATTGCAGGTTGCAAACCCGATGTGTTTTTCTTACAGTCCTATGTAACGGCGCCGCGTCCCGACGTGACGTTTGGCGCCGGCATCCCTCCTCTTCGGTGGAGAACAAGCGGCTTGAAAGACTTTTCTTGACTTGCGTCTCCGAGTATACGATAGTCGTTACGCTTGAGCCGTCGGTTTCGCACGATTTACAAGCGAGAATACGAACAAACGCATTTCCCAATAACGCCCGTGTTAATGTATGTGATATTACGCGAGTGCGCCAACTCCAACTTTCGATCTTGTAAATCAACGAGATTGCTGAGTAAGCACGATTCAAATTTATGCAGCACATTTACTTGTGTGTATGTGTCGATATCTCTTTAAAATTCTTTTTCAATTTTGTCAGAATCTAATACTTAAGTTTGGATAATTAAAAATGAATACTAGAAATTTATTATAATCGATAATAAAAAAAAAGTAATATTACATTGTGCAATTTATTATTATTGTTGGAATCCAGTTTGCGCTCTTTTCTATAACTCGCGTTAATCTTAGTAAATGGTTCTCTGATATATTGTATGTGAAAAATTTTTTCTTTCATGAAGAAGTGTCTAGAGATGGCATTTGTAATAATTTTAAATTGTCTTAATTATAATATAATATTATAATATTATAATAATCAGAAATTAAAGTTCTGTTAAAGCTTTATTTACGTTCTTAAAGTTGACTTCGCACTAAAACCTGAATCCTTATTTTGCAAATTGGCGTGGAGAAATATCGCAAAGGAATGCATGCACTTAGCAAAATTACTGCTGCATATTTGTTGCCTTATTATTTTTAAAAACAATACGATCGATAAAAATTAGGCATCCGCAAAAAAATCTGCTTAAAAGTGTAAATTTTTGTGACTACATATTGCCTGTGATGTCCGCACGTAAATCATAATTAGGCCGCAGCCGGCATGATAACAGTAATAACGCGGTAATAACAGCGAAGAAAAGTTGTATCTGCGAGAGGAGTCATTGGAACGCCGGCATTTTCTGTGCCCTTCATAACGGGGTTTGCTCCTTCCTTTCCATTTCTGTTTTTCTTTCTCTTCGTTTAAGTTCAACGTCCTATCATTCTGACGTTTCGTCATATGACAACTATACAAACGTTGCCATTGAGTGTGGCTTCGCAAAGTTTATTTTTGAGATACCGTATGTATGTTAATCACCGTGATATCAAAGTTATCACACAATCTAGGCTAAAATATTATGATATTGAAGATAGCGCAATTGAAGATCGTGTTAACGAAGCTTAGTCCATTCGGATGCCAGACAATAAACTTTATTTGCACGATTAACATCGTTGAAGCAAATACAATATGCCAAAAATACACTCTCTAATTATGAAAACCGTAACTGCTAGTCTTTAGTTTCTCTACTGATGTATGCTTATGTCACAGCTTATCTGACACTTAAAAGAAACTGGAAATTATCTTCGCAATGAGATAAAAAGCAATGCTAATACAAGGCTAGTAATTACTCATGTAAAGTATGTATATATATGCGTGACTCTGTCAACAGTTTTGCAATTTTTGTTCCATTAGAAAAGTCGATAATCACAGCAAATAATAACAATTCATTTGCGAGTTATAAGCATTACATATCGAACCACACGCCGTTTACTGCAACATATAGCGAATCGGGGAATGTCCGTTATTGCGAAAAACAATTTCTTGTTGAACTGTAAGTAGGAGAGGTATAAGAAGTAGGCGAGTAGGTGAAAGGAGAAAAGAGATTAATAGGAAAATACGATCACACCACTATGTGCAGGCATACATGAATTGTCCACTGCATTTATCCAAAGATAATAATCGTGCTAACATTTAATGAAATAAATTACCAATAATAACCCATGTCTTTAATTCGCTATTCACGTATTTATATCTTTTACTATCCGATGTTACAGATATCTGAATACAGACAAAATAGTTTAGCACAACGTGGAAGTAGACAGTGATATGAAGAAAACGACAACGGACACTTCCGAATATGGTACGTTTCTTGATAACAAGTAAAATAAAAAGCGATCAATATTATAAAACTCGATCCCGTAAAAATAAGTGTTAAATTCACCTGCGATTATATCAAATCGAATTGAACACTTGGAGGAAAGAGAAAGCAAATTGAAAACAGAATCACATTTTTTTAGTTAATTTTATGGATTTCAACATCTTAAGTTAAATTTTAAAAGCAGCCTTTTATTTAAATGTTTTTATTTCTTATATTTTATTATTTTTTTAGTGCCTATATTAATATTTTATACATAATATTTCTTGAGAAAAATTAATTTTGTCCTTATGATACGAATTATAGCGTACTCGAAAAAATTTTTAGCTCTTAAAATTTGTATTGAATTAAAAGAATATCTTTTAAATATTCGTTTACGTTTAAAACAAAAACTGGGATAATACATATAATATGTAATTTTTAAAACAGTTTAAATATTTTAAAAGGTTTCTAATCTCCATAAATATGGCAAAAGTTACGCGAAAGTTACAACAACGATAACTGTTTTCGTAAAGTAAAAATCGATTTCAAATTTTCTTGACAATTTCTCATCCCAATTTGAGCCGTTTATTTCGGCACGTGCGTATCTGTGTGTGTGTGCGTGTGTGTGTGTGTGTGTGTGTGTGTGTATATATATATATATATAATAATGTTAGGATAAATCTGTATCGTACGACGGAGACATGGCAGCTTGAAAGGCAAGACTGACCTTTCGAGTTGCCGAAGAAGGATGTCGATGTAAGTTGGAGCGTCCAAGATCGAAGGTTATCTTCTTGAAGTCTCGAGGTTAGCGTGCATTTTATGGTTTACATGCACTCTCTAGTGTTTTTCCTTCTGCGAACTGGTTTCGTCGTCATTTTACGTTGCAATACATAATAATGTATATATTTTTTATTGTATACGTAAATGATTATTAGCAACGTTTATATCAATTGTTGTGAGAAAAATTTCGATTGTTCTCGCATGAACAGCAATACAACAATGCAACATGTAACATTTAGAGCAGGTTTTACCAACCACATGGTAAGCTAACTAATAGTAAAATTATATGTTTATCTCTGTCTAATTGGAAAGAAAAACAGAGACGTGCATATGATTTAACTATTAGTTAACTTACCAAGAGTTTGGGACAACCGGCCCTTAATTAGAGAAATAAAATATATTCATCTTATTATGATTTCTTGCCTTTTAAATACAATGTGTTTAGCAACTCATTGTCAGTTATCACAGATTCTATTGTACATATATAATTTTAAAAAATTATTTATATGTCACGAGAAGATTTACTTATACTACTTTACTCATTACTCGGAAATATTCGTAAGAGAAAGAGCACTGTTTAACTTATAAATATTTATGAATCATTTGTCACGAATAAGCGAGGCTAAACTTTTTATTACGCAGCTGCTGCGTCTAACAATTGTAATTACGAATTGATGATTTAATTTCGATTCTCTGGTACTGAATGAGGAAAATCGCAAATAGTTTTTCCCAGCTCCTTAACTAATCGACTTGTCGTCTTAATTCCTGTTGGATTTTCTATGTAAATGGGCTATTGTTTTCACACTACATATTACTCATGCATGCTATCATTTTCTGGAAATCATTGCACATATTGACTGTCGTAAATTACCAGTTGTATAAATAAAGTCATCGTGAAAGAAATATGTTCCTGTAAATGTACTTTCAATGCAAATGTATTTCAAGTGTAAATTGCTTGATCAACCTAATCAGTCTGATAGATCCGTAATGTTTGAACGGCCATTACAAATTCTATTCCTCTCATAAGATAAAATTATTAGAGATAGATTTTCTTATGACGAGGTTAATGTTATTTCGTTCTTCAACTCGAAACGATGGTTTTACACGATTTTAGACAAGATAAATTTTTATAGCAGAATGTAGATGTACATTTGTAGACGTGATATTACTACATTCAATACAATTATTAAGATTAACATTGTAATTTTACGTCAATTTTTACTGTGGCCCAAAAATTTTTTAACGTGCAAGTTTCTAAAATTCTACATAATCCTATGCTGAATTTTATAATGCACATGGGTTTTTTTTTCACTCGACAAATAAGTTTGTATTATCAAATGATGTAGCTGATGGCGTTAAATTATACAAAACTAATTAAGAAGCTGTAACTCAACTTCACCATTGCATAATGCAATGAATTTGTAATTAAAATTAAGTATAAATAACGTGCGTAATTACAACAACGTACAATACGCAAAAAAAATTTTCGAAAGCGTTATATCATGCAAATAAAGATTCTAGCTGCATGATAAAAAATTTGCATCGTATATTTTACCACAATAAAAAATAAAAAAATATGACACATCTTACAGCTAATAACTGTCAGTTGCATCATCACTTGTTGTCGCTTGTTTATTTCGTAAGAAATGAGAATAATTAGTAATTTCTGTACAAAATAACAATCCTTCCTGCAAGAACTCGCAATCGAGATCGACATCGTAACCTAGGATAGAAACAGTAAGAATTGAAGACCCTCAAATTAATAGAATTTAGTATGAGCCAATGCGCAAATGAAAAAGTGTGTCTCCTTAAATTGCAGCACATGTGAATGCCAAGCAAGTTTCTAACGGTAAGGACGATCATGTCGATCCCGACGCACATGTGGACGCCGTGCAGACCGCGATCGGCAATCTCGGCAGGTGGCAAATCGTCATCTGCCTGGCAATTTCTCTGGTCAAATTTCCGGTAGCGTGGCATCAATTAGCGATCGTTTTTATGGCACCTCATCAAGATTACAACTGCACGGAGCCTGATACTGCAGGGGGATATTCCGAGGACCAATGCACTGTCAACCTTAATGGCACGCTCACAAAATGTACGGAATGGGAGTACGATAGAACAATATTTCCCGAAACCATCATATCGCAGGTATATCATGAGTATATCGTTATTTTACATTACACAAATTAACGTAAAATTCGTAAAATGCAGTCGTGTGCGAGCGACGAAATTTCCTTCTGCTCACTGATTTGAAAGTGATTTCGAAGAGTAAAAAACTGTTATCGTTTCAGTGGAATCTAGTCTGTGATCGAACACATTATGCGAACATTCAACAATCGATTCTTATGTTTGGGGTACTTCTTGGCAACATAATCTTCGGCAGTTTATCTGACAGGCGAGTACACGTATTATTGATTATATGCTTTCAAATCGTAAAACCGTAAAGTTGCAAAATAATGAAAAGTGCACAAATATCCACAGATATGGCAGGAAACCGCCGCTGATGGTTTCTATTGTTCTTCAACTTTTATCGGGTATCGGATGCGCCGTGGTACCTTGGTTTTACGCATTATTACTGATGAAATTTTTAAGTGCCTTAGCCACTGGAGGCACCATGGTTAATAGTTACGTTATTTGTAAGTGACTCTTTATTACAAGATACAGAGAGAATTTTCTCTTAAAATTTACCCTGAAGATCATGTAATCGTAGCACACGGCATTTTGAAGAACTCTATGAGAATTTTGTGAGAATTTTTCCATACATTTTACTAGTAAAATGTGCACTGAGTATAATTACTAGCAAAATGTATGGTAAAATTTCAAAAAAACTCTCATAAGGTTAGTCAAAATGCCATGTTGTCCCACGATTGCATGATTTTAAGAGAAAATTCTCTCCGTGTAGCTACTACAAGATATGTTAAAAGCGTAATCGAGGAAAAACAATTTCGACAACTTTGAACAATAGGAAATTGTTACGCTTACGTTGCTATTTGTATAAAAATCAGTAATATTAAAACTGCCAAATTAAATTTTAAAAGATTTTTTAAATATCTTTCAGGTATGGAAATAGTAGGTACCAAATGGCGTGCTGCCATCACCGTTTTATATCAAATTCCATTCAGTTTAGGCCACATGTCGCTAGCAGGACTTGCATTCTGGTTTCGACATTGGCAGCAACTACAGATTGCCATCACACTTCCATCCATTATTCTTTTAAGTTATTGGTGGATAGTACCTGAATCACCCAGATGGTTACTGGCTGTGGGAAAACAGAGAGAGGCATGCAAGATATTGCAAAGGGCGGTCGATGTTAATAAAGTGGAACATGTAGATGTTCCCGAAATAGTTAGGAAACATTGTTTGCACCAAGTAAGAGCTAATTCTATTTATTGTAATATTTTAGAAAATAGAAAATGCAAAAGTATGTAATATAATTAAGAAAAAGAAGAATTTTCAAAGACAAACTGTTACACAGTATTAACTCTTTCTCTCTCTCGCTCTCTGTCTCTCAACAATCACTTTTGTATTTTAGAGTCTTACAAAAACTACGCTAGATTACAAGGCTTCGTTTTTCGACTTGCTTCGCACACCGAACATGCGAGTGAAGTCACTCTGTATTTTTTTCAACTGGATCGTTTGCGGAATGGGTTTGTTTGGCATATCACAGTACATTGGCCAGGTTGGTGGCGATATTTTCATTAATTTCGCAGTGTCCGGTGCCATACAGATTCCGGGAAATTTCGTCGCATGGTGGGCAATGAACGCATTGGGTCGACGGATTACCCTGATTTGCAGTAATTCTATAAGCGGTGTGGCCTGTCTATGCTTAATCATCGTCTCAAACAGTAAGAAATCCTACTACATGGATACAGTTTGTTATATTTTTTTGTAGCTTGCTTTTGATCAATGGAACGAGGTTCGCACTAAAAATTATTGTTACTATATCACGTCTTGATAATGCAATTATTTTATAAGTCTGTTAAAGTGTTTTCCATTCTGGCGAAATTCTCTCTATTTATTGATTGACAATTTAATTCGAATGGACCGATCAATGGGCTGATCACGAAAAAAGTTCCATCCAATTGTTAAGTGGCAAAGAAAATTTACGATAAACGAGATATCTATCAAGTAATAACTATGAATCGTCCAAATACTCTAAGTGCATCAGTGCCTCGGTAATTCATTCATTTCCCTTAGATATGGCATGGTTAAGATTACTCTTGGCATGCCTCGGTATTGTCGGCATGTCAGTGTCGTTTACAACAGTCTACCTTTTCTCCGGAGAACTGTTTCCTACAGTCGTAAGGAACGTCGGAATTGGCTCGAGTAGCATGTGTGCTAGAGTAGGCTCTATCGTAGCGCCCTTCGTAGTGTCTCTGGTAAGTTTAATTTGGGGGTTGATCTGTGTAAGTAGATTTTAACATACTATCTCGTTTTCCACATGCATGGAGATTTGAATTGCATTATATCGTAATTTTGTGCTAAACATTCGAAAGTCACCAGTCACTAATACGTTTTCTAGATTATCAATTGTAGATATCGTTTTAGAGTTACATCGAAACGTGGCTACCGCCTACTATATTTGGAATTTTGCCATTAATTGGATCCGCACTGTGCCTATTATTGCCCGAAACCGCCGAATGCGCATTACCGGAAACCCTTCAAGATGGCGAAGACTTTGGAAAGTAAGCAAAAATTTATTTTGTATGGATAAATTACAAGAGTTTCCTTTTATATAAAAGTTTTTAAACTTTCGGTATTATTAGTTTCTCTACACGAGCTTATATATTTATATATTGTATATTGATTTTTAATGCATAATTAATTTTCGTAACAAAAATTTCGCTGTTTTGTAAATGAGACAAATAAAACAATGACATTTAACCAAATTCATTGACATTTAAGATTTCACTCTTTTTTCATAAGCAAATTATTTTAAAAAATTATATAAATATAAATATATTTATATGTTTGTATATAGAATGCAAAAACAAATTTCGTTAGAGATCACTGTTTATATTCAAATAGTTTGAAAAAAATGTTAAATTATTAAACATATTGCTTTTTTTGCAGAAAGCGTAAGAAAGAAAAACGTGGAGATTTTGAAGCAGAAGCGACATTCTAAAGGAATACTACCGTCACGATGGAGTCTTAGCTATTTCAGAAAAAAGGGGGAACGCACACGCGCGCATGCATTGTATTAAATTATGACAAACGATCTGAATTAGTCATTAATCGTTGTTAATCAAGTGCTAGCATAAAATAAGCGCATATTTAGAAATTCTATTTATTATATTACTTTCGTAATAGTAACAAAAAATTAGCTCTATGACCATTCATCTCATCACTCATTGTCATATTTTCTGACTCATATTTTCCATAATATATTATAATTTAAAGCTGATATTTTATAGAAAAAATATGTAACAAAAAGATATTTGTAAAAAAAAGTGACAATACCGTTGCGTTTTCCAAGAAATTTACACGTAAAATTTAGTAGCAAGTATTAAATGTTTACTGCCAAACAAATAAGTATACGTGATTATTATTTAAGATCTTTTACCGAATGTATATATAAATAGAAATTCGCTTTTGTAAGAAAAGCATTTTTATTTATTAAATACTCAATATAACTCGAAATCGACCATTCTTTTCCTTTATTTGTCAAACATTATAAATTGTGTATAATCCAAAATAATATTGCATATATGTGTATCATACTGCAATGTTATTGCAATGTTAAGTAGCAGTACTTCTTAAAAGCATTTTATTGTTTCTACAATCTTGTAACAATATTGCAGCAACATTTCAAAATGTTTATGCAATGTTACAATCTTGTCATAAAATGTTGCCGCAATGTTCCTATAATCTCGCTGTCCTGTATGGGAATTATCTCTCTTTTCCAATTGCTATTATTATGTAAATGTGTAATATTAATACTACCAATGACTTCTATTTCTTTATGTATAAATTATGAATGTAAATGCTTGAAAATTTATATCTATTATTTTACATTCGTGACGAATATTCTGCGAGATTTTCCGGACTTTTACGCAGATACTTCTTAGAAACGGTTACGTTTGTTTTATAATTGGACAACACCGTATGGGAGATAATTCCTCCATTCACGTTGCGCAATTAAATAAATCGTTAATAACTTACGATTACCATGTTGCTGTATTTATAATCTTTTGGTCTAGGAACTAAAGATAACCTTCAGACAACGCGGACGTAGTTACAATGCAATCACAATTATTGGCGGTGGTAATAAAAGTCATTCAAATTTTGCCAACGTAAGTAAAATGAGCAGCAGAATGTAGTTTAAATTTACAATTGAACTTTAGACTGTCGAAAAAGCCACTTTTGTGACTCTTACGTAAAAACTCAGAAATAGATTTCTTATCGCCAGTAATTTACAACAAATAGGTTGTAAATAGGTTATTAGAATTTTTCAAAACGACCTACACTGGCCAGTGTTTCTCAAATCCGACATCTCGACGAACTAACTTGACAGAAAAAGGTATAGATTTGCGGTTTACTTTCGCTATAATTATTTGCGCTATATTCTTTATATTTACAAAAAAATAGTGCTAAGTTATCTATGTTTGCAGAATACTTGAGAAGTCCAAATCCAAAAACAAACGACGTTTCGGTCCAAATCCGGGACCGAAACGTCGTTTGTTTTTTAAAGAAGAACACTGACCAGTGTAGGTTGTTTCGAAAAACTATATGTTAAGATAAAACTATATCTTGAGTAAAAATTCTAAAATAAGCAACAAGCTATGTCCACGTTAGCTTTGGATAATGGTAAAAGGACGTGCTCTGAATGAGTCTATACGTTTATATTAATCTATGTTATTATTACTGCTCTTTGGCTCGAAATTTCGTAAATCTATGCTTAAAAATGGAATCAATGACACCGAAAATTCCCAAATACACTATTTTTGAAAAAAAAAATAAAAAGTTTTTATATTTTACCGTCCGTTCCCTGCTATAAAAGCCACTTTTGAGACTCTTAACAAATCTCGCAATTCTGTATAATTCGAATCTATATAATAATTGATTAATAACCATTTGAGAATCAAAGTATTAGAAAGAGTAGAAAAGAGAGAATAAAAATGAAAAAAAGAAAGTAGAGTATTTGTTGAATAAATTACCAT